AAAAGTTTTTCGTAGTAACTTGCACCAGAGTGAGGCACAATACCCCTTCACCGTAAACGCCAGCACACTCATGTATTCATATGGGTCGGCAGTCTTCGTGCTTGAACAAACTGAAACTCAACAATAACCAGTAAAAAAGCTTGCTGTTTTCTATCACAGAGTTTACTTAACCGATACGTATGTGCCATGACATTATAAAGATATAATCTGACGGACGAATTTTAGTCCTGACAAAAATAGATTTGATTACAACCTATCGACCCATCTATGAAGAATGATTGAGAATAACGATGGTATTAAAAATATAAATGATATTTTGTTGGCCTTCTTTTTGAGTTCGACCGACCAAAATCCTCAAACAGTAAGAACGACGCCTATACGGCCTAATGGCTGTCGGTCGGTATTTCGAAGCGCAGGCCCTCTACCCGGGGTATCAAAGCGTACTCTTTCTTCTATACAGCTTCTACTAGCTTTTTCCTTTTACAGGTTATGATAAGTCAGATGGATATTTACCTTAATGTAAGAAATGATTTATGACTCAGCTATACTATACCTATAAATAATAGATTTATTTCTACAGAAAAATTATATATGCATAAAAAATATACGTTACTTTATTTACACGTTTATTGCAAACGTGAACAAATTACTAAGCTATATCAGGTCAGTTGTCGTCCCATTTGCATATTAAAAAGTCGTTTCTATATATAAATGCGGACCCGACGCATGACGTTAGTCACAAACTTTCTAGAAAAACGGCGTTAAGTAGAAAGGCCGATAGAGGACTGTGACATTATTTGGTTCCGATGATTATGGCCGATTGTTTTACAAACGAGAAAGAAAATCTATTTGATAAACGAAATTCCGTCCGCCTTTTTATCTTGAAATCTGCCATTCCTTGACAGCTGTTGCCTCGCCAAAAGTTGATGCCGCTGAAGCTGGTACTTAGTAAGGGTTTTCTTAGGGCCCGGTGGATGACGTCGTGATAGGGCACAATTTTATCGTCAGTTAAGAACATAGCGTTTCCGTAACGGCGGGTACGCTATTATCAGGCTGGGCTATTTAATATAGAAGAAATAGCTTGGGTGACTTTTACGAACAACTGAGATATAGCAGTTAAAAGTCTCAGAGCATTTTCTCAGGTAGACCGAAAAGCAATAAGTGCTTACAATAAGTTTCGAATTGTATCTGTATCAGGTGAAACTTGCCATGGTGTCTTCTAGCAGAAATCGCAGGAACCTGCATAGCAAAGTTAAAACCTGTCAATTAGTCGAGTATTCTTAGCTATTAGTCGTCATAGCTGAAAGAGGCCCAGTTATATCGTCTCTTTCCTCTCTTTCCTGGACGACCCCCGTAATAATATACCACAGTTCAGGTTCGAGCTGATTTCGTTCATAAAGCTGAGAGGTTGAGAGTACGCTTTGGATCGAAATCCTTTTGTGAGTCGTAATAGTTTGAAGGTAGATGATTTTGCCTTTGGTGGGTCTAGTGATATTATTCGCAAGCACGATGCATCGATCAGAAGCCTCTGCTTGTTTACTTTCTGTCTTTATAGTGACCCTTCATTCAGGTGCTATTAATCAGTTTTGCCATTTGTTATTTATTGTATGCGAATTAGCTTAAGCACGGCAGCCGCAGCCTGGCTGAGGCTAGTATTAATAGAAATAAGCACATATCATATCCAGTTGTGCGGTCTTCCCTAACGCCAGCGTTTGTAGGGGATTATAATAATGACATACGGCTATCTAACATAACATATAGCTTTTAGTACTTATAAGCCGCTTACTAAAAGCAGTAGATCTGCCGTCAGCCTACGACGAAAGAAGGCGGTTCCTTCTCATATAGCTTCGGCAAACAGTCGAATACAGGTGTCGTCGCATGTTGGCGGTTACGCCGTGTCGTTATCAAGTTTCTGGTAAAGTATTAATTAGGCGACTTAGAGGATGAAGCGCAACGTAGTTACTAAGCATTCGGTGCGTTTTCGTGCATTCAGCTACATACAGACACATCAACGTTCAGCTGGCTGGAACGTGAAGTCGCAAGTTTTATCCGCCCTCGTTTGAAATGAAAAAATTAACGATTTAAGCGCACGCGCCTTCTGTGGTGTGTCTTCTGCTAAGGCAGAACATGTAGTGAACGCCGCAGCTCTTGGAAGTCGTTGTTGGACTACTTTCAAGATCAGTTTTAGGCAAAGATGCATTGTAGAATTTGGACTGTAGAAGTTACGTCAAACAGTTTGGCTAAACTTGTTCGAGTTTTGGCAAACTTGTTCACACAGACACTACTTATATGATCTAGCACCATGCTGAGCTTTGCACCATGCATGCAGCCGACCTATATTCTACAATATAGCCTGGACTAAGTTATTTGCCTATTTTTTGTAAATGCCCGCCAAATTTAAACAAGTGAAGCGGTACCTGGACTTCTAAACAATGGATCCGCAAGAACACATTCAAGCCTTTACGGACTGAATGGTACTGTTATAAAAGTATAAAAAAAAAGAACACCGTACATAAAAAGCTTTATGAAAGTTCTTAATGCTTTTAAAGTACGGTGTTTAGCTAGGAACAGGAGCCAGCTACTGCCGAAGTTAGCGGATTCTACGAACGCTTATTGAACTTACTGAACCTAAACTGAAGTTCAGTGTTTGGGAATTCACCTACTGTAAACAAGTCACAAAATTAACTTCCTTTATTTGAGGTACTTGAGAGTATATTTGGAAATCCTAAGCAAAAAATCATCCAGAAATATTTTTAACGTAACGAAAAATTACTATCTGTGAACTTTGCGAAAGTTAACCTTCATTACATTAAGTTTTTTTTAAAGAAATTTTTAAATCGGCTTAAATTAGCCTATAGCTTAAACTATGACTTCACTACTATTATTGATTTAGCGATTACCGTTGGACTGCTTTCCTGACGAACGTACTTTGTAAACTTTTCAGGAAGCATTAATATCCATGTAATTTTTGGAGGTGGATTTGATCATCAGGCATAAGGATAAAAATTTGTTATACGAAAAATTCATAGCAATAATTCTAATATTGCAACAAACTGTTCTGCTAGCATATGCTTATACGCACATCTGTTTCAACCTAAAACAAAGAAACGACACAAAGCTGGACAAAACGGAAAGATCTGCCGCCTCTGTCCCACAACAGCATATGAAGATATCAAAGCATTATTCATTAATCCTCTCCCCCCCTTTTTTATAGGTGCTTCATAGATCATTGTATTGAAGTGTGTGATTGTTCTGCCAGGACTGATTCGGTATTGTGACGACCTCGTTTTGCTAAATGCAATTCAACGTGTCTGCTATTTTCTTTAATACAGTCCTTCCACATCTGTACGTTGTTTCTACAAGACCCTTCTCTGGTTACTGGCTGTTGAACGGTAGATTTTAGCAGGTGTTGCAAGGCTTGGATCTCGGCAAGATTTTTCTGAACATGGTCCCTTACCAGCAAAACAAACTAGGTCTACTGTAGGTACTAAAAAAAAAAAAAAAAAAAAAGAAAAATTAATGACGATTCTACTGTGTTTTTGCCGTATCAGTTGAAGCCTGCGTTCATTTGGATTGTGATAAAGAGTGTGCGGAAGATTTCGTACTTCCCTTCGCATTCTCTGCTTTACAACTAAAGCTTCTCCGCTATAGTTGTAACGGCAGTGATGATGATGATAATAACTTAAGAAAACAGCGCAGGACCAATGTAGAATGACTATTCTCGCATTATTTTCGTGTTGTATATTTTCCTAATCTTGCAAAAAGTGTTAACTCGATCCCAGTCGTTTAAGTTCTTTCATATTCGTAATATTATATATTTAGAAATCTGCATTTTATATGTATGGATCTATCTATCACTATCGCTGCAAGCGTACGTCCCATAATGTTCAATCCATTTACTACTTCGAACAATACTAAGGAACAGCCATAGCGAACGTTTTCCCCTCTAAGCCATTAACAATGCTTGATATTGGAGCAGAGCGCAAGAGATGGCCTCGCCGCTAAAGGGTGTCCTATTTTAAGATGGAAAAACTCGACGTGTCAGTGTGGTTCATTTTTAGACAAGGACATATAAGGCCCAGAGTGTTCAAAATGAAGAACAGTTCGTTATTGCTACGCTTTTTCTTCACATACTGATCTCCGGGTACTGCAACAGCGAGCATAAGTCAGCACCTCTGCTTAACAAATCGTACCTCAATCAGATCCAGTTAGAAACGCAACACGTCTTTAAATTTAGTTAATAAATCGTATTATTTCTTATTTAGAAGGAGCTAAGGCATATTTAGATAGTCTCCTGAAATCTCCTATAACTGTGGTGTATCACAAACGCAATTACTAAATGTTTCTAAAGAAACGCTTCAAAATGGTAATTTTTGCGGTATTAATAGTGGAGTGTCAGGGTCAACTGAATGTTTCGGAACTGTTGTTTTTCAGATTCAAGTTATATTGCACACACCAAAGCCACGTTAGCTAAAACTATAATAAGATATAAATCGCTAATTGTAAGATTAAGTTACGCTAATCGGGTAATATCTACACTTTTGTACTTCGGTTCTTTTGCATCAAAGTAGAATATCTACCTTTGAAATGTATTTTTCGAGGTTTCTGTCCGAAAATCAACGAAGGTCAAGCTTCATCTGTACTTTGAGGTATCAATCTCAATAGCTAACTAGCAATAATCTTACATATTGCGATAGTTTCGCGACGGCAGTGGTTCAACTACATGATAGTATCACCCTCAAGACGTAGCTTTACTTTAAAAGATATTGGCTGAAAGATGTAGCTTCCATGCAAAAACGCTAAAGTTCATGCAAGATATTCCATGAAACGTTTTTGCATTGAAACTAGCTTTGAACTCATCTGTATGGGAAAATATAGCGCAGCCAATTTGGCTGAACTGACTAGGGCAGTACAGTCATTTACAAGTTACATATGAGGATTTAATAATCAACGATAACATGCTTATTTTGAAGAATAAAGATGCGTATTCGTTTATTAACTTTCTGGAAATTGTCTTTTTTACATCATTTTCAACACTATATAGATATATATACTTAGGTATATACACTCCATTGTGATCTACATAGAAATCGCCTTTCCTATAAACACTATTATGCAGATGAAACCTATTTGTCGACTTTTAGCAGAAGTTCCGTCCGTTGGATGGGCCGAAACAGTAGATGCAAATAGGTACATGCCATCGCACGAGATCCTTTTAGGTTCCTACACGCGTTAATCGTGTACACGTATATGTTCTATACAGAACAAAGAAGCTACAGCAATAACACTCGTGCCATTGCAACTAACGAATCGAGGAATTTCGTTGCCCTTATTTATCTGCTCTTGTTGTAAATTTCATGTCGCTTGCTAAATAAATAAGTAAATATGTTCAGCCATAATCAACTGTATACAACTACCGTGGCGGTATAAAGTGTTGCAAATAGCTCTCTGCCTGTAAGTTTAATTTTCGAAATTCCGAATAAACAATATTTCCATTTCGAAAAGCGACTAGTGTTACGGGAAAAAAATGTCCGCTATTTGCGACGATTTACTTATTTACGGACGTCTACCAACGTTGCCCTACATTGGTTGCACCGAGTTATCTTCGAATTTAGTTATACAATTTGCAGAGCTGATTGGTGACGTTGGCGATTATTATCTACTTCGGCGACAACAACGTAATCTTGAGCACTTCGTCTGCTGGTTAGGTCACTGCCATCGTTAAGGACGACGTGTCCTGAGCCGCTATTCTCTACTTCTCGAATCACGGTCCTACAGTCTTTACTGCTATTGCTGCTAAATTGTCTTAACGCAACTGTGGCACTAACGGTTGTAGCGTTCGCCGAGGTCTTCTGATGAGAACTCAATGAGATTACGTCGACGTATGTCGCTGAGACGTCACATTCTTTGCTGGCAATTTTTTTATTGATTGCTTTCTGCATGACGACAATCACCGGCTTACCGCCGTTCATACCCTGATTTCTCCGTCGACATTGTAGAGGCAGCCTGTTCCGTTGAGAGATGTTTATGCCACGACTAAAACGATGCGATACTAAAGAACGCCGATTCGGATTTCGCCGGATCGCTGCACGCAGATATGCATTGCGTATGCATGTTTGCACCTGGAGCGGTAAGTAACAATGCTTGCAAATTAGATATAAGAAAAATGCGTAAAAAATAGCTAGCGTAGCAACCAATGGATGTATGGACGTCAGTAAAGGCGGCGTGCTCTACACACGCGTACATTTCAACGTACTTATCAATAACTAAAGTGGGGCGAAGACGATAACAGAGGCACGTGCAGGTAAACGATAGTAGAGTGTGGGTTATTATCTACACTACTTGACTGGACAGGTAAACAAGTCGTGCGAAAACGTAATTGTGTTTTGGCAACTATCTATCAATACTTTTCCGGAAAAAATTCAGTAAAAAAAATTAAAAGCAAATCCATGTCTTTTTCAGCTTGGAACATGAAAGTTTTAGAATTAGATGTATCGCAATTTATCAATCGTTGTCAAGAGAATCCCCTTCGAAATCAGTTCTCTTTCTCGGTAAATTGTCAATCCTTATTAGCGTGGGAAAATTGTTCACAAACATGTCACTTTGACCGCTAAATTATCGGGCAAGTCAAAAGCACAGGTGAACAAAGCAACGAAACTTTTAGTACTGTTTTTGCGATAAACACACGTACCATATAGAATAGGACGCAAACGCTCATCCCTTTGCTCTTAACTCTTAATTGACATACAATAAACTATTTGATCATTTGAATTCGTTTAATTTCATTATTCCAGTCACGAGATGTGTCGGGCTCTCCATCAATTAGACTCTAAAATATAGATCAACAGCTCGGCCTGCTGTGGCTCGACCTACTGACGTCAAACAATTCGCTTTAATAATACTAACCGACGAAAGGCACCGTCGTTGACATCGTGTTCTGTCTTTTGTACTCACATAGAAATGATATTCCGACAACAGTTAGATGCTGCCAAAAAAAACTGTCGATCAGCACGCCGGTTCGTTTGATGTCGGCGTCGATAATCAGCCACAGACTTATTATGAGGAGGTAAAAAAGGGGTCCTCGTTGACGTAGGGACAAACATCAGGCAGGCCCTTCGTCTCAATGAGTAGAAACGGGGGCATATGAAATTCCCATCTTTGAGTATTGCCTTAAGTTAAACGGTAGCATTAGGCTCTACTGATCTCAGTAAAGGTGTCGCATAGGCGCAGCGATGTGGCCTCAAGGCGTAATAGTTAATAATTGTGTGCTTGTAGATTGATGTAGGTATGAATAACAAGTGGATCATGCGCATGGATACGGTGCTGCTGTAATAGACAAAGATGAACCAAAAACTATATCGTTGGCCATTGTAATAAGTTAGAGAAGTTACCGATGAAACCACAATGGGGTGCAAGTTGCATATATCACATTGTAGATAATTATAATAATAATAGCGCATGTCCAGGCCAACAACAACAACAAATTTAACATGCTACAAAAGCTTTACGGTTTAGCATCTTAGTCGTAAAACGCTTTCATCGTGAAACAAGAGTAAAGGTAAGATGAAAAAAAAAAACAGACAAGAACCAGTTATTCAACGCAAACGATTTTCTCATGTGTAGAAAAAACCTTCTTTCGGCTTGTAATCGCATGACCCGCTATCATGCCATACGCTTGCGCCTCAACTGGCGAACTAACCACTAAAGTAGACCGGAAATTTGTCTGCCCCCTTTCGACCACGCTGCCTATTCCAGCGAAGGCAGAGGGTCCGCTAAGTCTACCAGAAAGCTTTCTCCAATAAATGGACTAGTATTTTTTTATCGCCTTTTTTTCGTCACTTATGTGCCTTGATTGGTATCTAGCCAGAAGTTATTGGTGTGCTCTAATAGCAGATAATCATATTCACACGGGGAAGAACTCGAAACATAAGGAAGTCATGAAATCATTGAACGTATTGAGGTCGTGTCTGTCTGGCGCAAGACCCTAGATGACCTAACCCTTATTGAATCCCACGCAAACCGCTGCGCAAGTGATTGTTCCGTCACATAAACGAATTTATACCTGCAAATTCGTATTCGCTATAGGAATATCCTGGGAAAGGGCTGGGTATATGGTTAACGAGAAACTACGCTGGGTCTTCTCACACAAAGGTCGTCATTAACGGAAACTATGGGTACAGAACACTTGCTTTTTATAATCCTTGATCCTTGGTCCTTGCGAAGTGTCATTGTGCTTAATAAAATTGCCATGCATGTAGTAAAAAGGTTTTTAATGGTTGAAAAAAATTCCGATTTCAGTGCTGTCGTAGCGGTACGACAGGTGCGCAACAACTGCAGAGCTTATTCAGTGCTGTAAAAGTCACTCGTGGTAATCAAATGCGTGTTCCGGAACGCCAGGATGACCTGGGACATAAGTATTTCTAGAAGTGGCTGCATACATTAATGTTGTCTTAGCGCCGGGCGGACCCTTGTCTGCTTGGGTTAGTCATCCTGTTGGAGAGGACAAACCCAGAAATGTCTCCGAATGATAAAATATGTATTATCTATAGAGCCTTTTTTATGCCGATCTAATATTTGTAACTGCATATTTGTCATAATGGACATTGTAAGTAGATGGAAATGTTATTAGTTGAGTGCTTACCTCAACGTTCATAAAGCAGTAGATCACCGCAACAAATATTCCCTGCAAGCCAAAAAAAGAAATTACACATTAACATTTTTTACATTCATTGAAAATAAAGTAGTATAATACCCCACAGGAGATCTGCGGTATCGATGAACACTATCAGTCAACCAATCTATGTATCTAAGCTATCTGTCCATCTAGATCTATTTACCAATTACTTGTATTAAATTAATTACCAATTATTCGTAGGTGAAAGGCTAACATGAAAAAAATGAACTGGAAATGGTAGCAATGTCAGTATAAATTTCTGATTCGATACTCAAAAAATGTTTGATAATATTGCTCATCACATCTTTAAATTATAGAATTAGGCAATCTCTAAATCCTTATCTTTAAAATGTTCTGCTAACAAACTGTCAGCTGAATGTTTATATAGAGGTCAATCCCTATAAAAAAAAAACCAATCACTAGATCTCGATGATATGAGAGAAAATTCAAATTGTATTTTTATACTTAAAAAGGATACTCTGGCGCGAAAAAAACAAAAATTTGAATGTGGTACCTGTCCTCACAAGCGATAACGGTCTGAGAATTTCTTTTGAGGGAGTTTTTAATACATTTCGAATAAATGTCAATTAAAAGATTAGAAGGATTAACGCAGAGAATACTTTGATCAAATTAATTTTTCACCAAATTTTTTCTCAAATAGACACGGAAGTATCGAAGGCATTTGTCCGACACAGAAGCATTTGTAATCTACCATTTATTTGGCGTTAATTCTTCGAATTAATCGATCGATTTTGATAATTCAAATAAAAATGCGATAGATGGTCTAATGGCTAGAGCAAACGTTAACAAAAAAAAAAAAAGGAATAATATGTATTAGCTATTAAACGAACATTTTTTACATGGAGCTGTATGTAAGAAGTATAGTTTTGCTCTGATCAATGACCTTCGACAAACAGAAGCGAAATACTCTATATATTTCCATAATTAAATTTGGGTTTTTAACTCGAAGGAGCCACTTAAAAAGTGAAAACTATTTAATGTGAGGAGTGTTTTTCCTAACGCCAGTCGCTGTGCCTCGATGAACTAGGTTGAAACGCGATACATGCTGTTATATTTAAAATAATTATATTTTTAAGTAAAAATAACGAAAATCTGTTGGATGGTATTGGTTTATACATGTAAAAATGAATTGGAACTGTATATCGACGTGGTTCTAAGAAGTTTTTGGAATAAATGTTAAGTGAAAAACTTAACTGGCTTAATAACTTAACTGGAATAATATAATAGCAACACTTCGTTATAGCTAACTATTGCGGAAAATGTCCATCGAAGAGGTTATA